GAGAACAAGGTGCGTTTGGCTTGATTTGGTGTCTTCACTTTATTGTGTTCTCTGAGATTTTTGTGAAAATATGCATTAGCAGCAGATGTCTTTTCACTACACCTATTTAAACTTTTATAAGACACAATGTCACCATGTCACTGATCAAGATGATCAATCTCCTACTGGACAAGGTCTTAAGCTCTTCAGCTTTATTTAGGTTCTTTCATAAAATTCACAAAGATTTCATTTTAGCACAAAATAATTCCTAAATGATGTTAAAATTTCCTCATTAGGGATTAGCCCAATTTTTTTTGTTCTCCTAAAATGTTGAGATGCTTTCACCCCTAAGATTCTTTGTGAATGTAGACCCTAATTGTACTGTGTATTATGTAATCTGTGTATAGAGAGACAACATCTTCTTTTCACTCATTCTCATCCTCAGATTTGACAAGTGGCATGAATTTGGACCAGGGGGCTGGGACTGAGGGTGGTCCAGAATTGTTGCTTAGCCCTCCTCCTACAGTACAAGGTTTTACAGTGTCCTGAGTTCTTCCAACCATAGTCCTTTTATTTGAGCTCACTGTATGCTGCTGTCAGTGGGAACAAGAACGAGAGAATTTGGTACAACATAGAGCTCATGGTCTCAGATGGTTTGCTATGTAGTCTATGCTATACCAAATACTCTTGTTCTTCTTCCTGCCAACAGCACTTGGGAAGTTCAAACAACAAGGCTATGGTGGGATGATGTACTCTGCAGTATCGCTTTAATATCTTTTTTTTCAGGTCTCTGTTATGACCTAATTGTATGTATATTATGATGATAGTCAATGCTATCTCTTCACTCATTTCAGATTCAGCTGTGCTGAAACTGTTGCTGTGGCTGATCAACCTCCTACTGGACAAGGTCTTAAGCTCTTCAGCTTTATTTATGTTCTTTATCTTTGAAAGAATATGCTTAAGCTTCAAATATCTGTGCTGTACTGAACCAAGTCTATTTGTTTATATAGGGAAAAGGCGAAATCAGAGGAAGAGAGGTCTGAAATCTGACATCTGATATTCTGTCATCTTTTACATTATCAACACAAAGTATTAATTTAATTGTTGTGCGGGTATTCCTGATATTATTGTTTTAATTAATTTCCATATGGATTGAATGCATAGTGTTCATACTGTAGATAAGCAAGTTTTCAAGTATTAAGTATTTTCCAAGGCTACATTTGCATTTGGATTATTATTTATCATTTCTCGTTGTACAGTGAGAACAAAAGATTGCCCCCACAACAATCAGGATGTGCACCCATACCGTGGGATAATACGGACAAGGCAGAGAAAAGTAGGATTGGAGAGGTAGTTAGATTGTGTTATCTGATATGATGTCTTCCCTACAGAAAATACATCTTGGCTAGCATGTTTTGAAACTGGTTTGGAGGATATGCATAGTAAAACTAGGGGTTGTAAGATCATTTATGGCTATTTCGGGGAGGAGCATGTGCGCACAATCTTCCGGTGACTGGGATTTATAAAGTGAATTTTGTGCAGGTTCTGGTGTACGAACGGTTTTATAAGTCTAAAAAAATTTTTGTGAATGCCATTTTTAAAAAATTAGAAGTTGTCCTGCATCACGGGGTGTGAGTAACTGAGTGCTAGTGCTCCTTCTTGGGCACACTACTCAAGGCCCAAGACACTTTATAAGCAACATGCCACTGAACCATGTTCAAGTTACTTAGCATCATAAATTAAATTAAAGTGTACCTTAATAGGTGGGACTTGCAACATCTGCTTAGATGTCAACAAAGCTAACCACTGTATCTGTTATAATGCAGTGCAGGAAGTAGGATCCAAATGCAGCAGTTTTTTATTAAATAAACTAGAACAATGACTAAGACTAAGACTAAGAATAAACTTGAACTATGACAAAGGCTAAGACTCCAGAACAAAACCGACAACATGCAACAGAACAACATCCAGAACACACAAAGACTGAGCTAGACACATGGCTTAAATACAAAGGCAAACAAGCTAAACAAGATAATGAGGGGAGTGGCTAATCAGAGACACCTAGGAAGACTAATAGACATAACGGGAACTGCTAAACATGGAAAAAGATGGGAACACAGACAGGAAACATGACAGAACAAATAGTGCCAATGGGCTTTATGCCCAGCTGCACTACTTCCTGAACTTCAGCCAGCTCCTTGTTTCCTGTCTGCCATTATTGGACAAACTGATTAATTCAGGTGTGCCTGACCTCAGTAGTCATGGCAACAATAATCAGACACCTGAATTAATCAAGTTTGCCCAATAATGGCAGACAGGAAACAAGGGGCTGGCTGAAGTTCAGGAAGTAGTGCAGCTGGGCATAAAGCCCATTGTATCACCAGGGAATTCTTAGTTGTCCCTTTGATAAAATTTGCCCTTGATCCATGTCTCTAAATATTTATTTTTAAATGCCTAGAAATATCCTTTAAAGGGCATATTGCAGGTTAGAGGACCCAACGAGTCAATGCATAGAAAACAATGTAGGAACTAGATTTTCTTTAAAATATACGTATAAACACGCTACAGAAGCTTCTGCAGTCGTTTTTGTGAGAAAATTTTACTTCCGCGTCTGAAAATGGGCGTGGCGGGCGTGACGCAATGAGCGGGAGAGCCGTCGATTCACACAACAGGAAAACAATGGATCGCATGACATTTCGGACGCTGAGGAAATACTCGTATGACGGATCAAGCCAGAAAGTTATGAGCCTGCTATGCTAAAGAGATCAGGGACAGACCAGGATAATGTCAGACAGAACGGTCAGAGAAAAATTGAGCTGTGATGTGAGGAGAACCAGTGGAGAAGAGGACAGGTGGCTTTTAGGTGAGAGACGTGCTTATAGTACACGTTCGCTAACGATATACACTGTGCTCACAATATTGTACAGATTCTATAACAGGCCAGCAGACATTAGTATGTTTAGGGTAGATTTATATACTATTAAATGTATAAAAACTTTACTTGAGTATATTTCTATACTAAAAGTATACTCGGGTAAATGTTTAATACATATTTTTCACCTAGGTTATAACATAAACAGAACATTAAAGATTTGAGTATTTAAACAACCAATTTTGTTTTTCAATTACAAGTTCTATTTAGGGCATGACATGACTAAGTTACCTATATAACACTATTTGATGCCATTGGTAGTATACGACGATCAATATTCTTGTTTCGGCATACCATGTTGAACTCCATCATATCGCCGGGATGCTAATCATTTGATCTGAAGTGAACGCTACACACGACCGCGTTTTCCGAGCCGATGCAGAAGAGAAATCCCGTCTCTTCACCTGCTCAAACCGCACCAGGAACGAAAGATAGGCTATATAGCACCGTCACTTTTATTGTAATGGAAACTTGTGGACTCGATCTTGAAGTCCTGACAGGCTGGAGTTTTTGCAATCTCCACAAACACAATAATTTACCATGACGATGATAAATTAAAATGCAAAAACTAACGATAGCACACTGACTGACGAGCGCTCTCACTGAACACCAGCCTCCTCTCCACTGAGCCGAGGCTGCGGCTCCCTGATATGACGTCAAATGACGCGATGTTGAAAAAAAGCCGTTTTTACTAGCAGTCCAAGAAACGCTCACTTTATCTTCTAAATTAGTGCCCTTATGTTGTTTTAAAACATTTTAAATCCTGCATTAACTTTTCATATGGCATTTTCATACAAGGTTATCTATAAATTTCGATTTTTTTTTTACCTGCAATATGCTCTTTAAAGGTCCTTATACAGTATTTGATGTGGAGAAAGGAACCCTCTTCCCCGTTAACTACATGATGTTTGCTATCCTGACAGACTATTGCTTGCAAGTAATCAGAATATGGACCTGATTGTTGTTCTGGGAAATATTCTCGTTCCTATTATCTTTACCGGTAGTCGTGGAAGACTGGAAAAAACTGGTTAAAGAATGACCACTGCTCAGTAAGACAAAGGACCTTGCTGGAAATGAACATTTGACCTCCCCCTCATACAGTCTCACCTAATCTGCATTTCATTCTCTCTCAAGAAACATATGGTTATAATGTGAATGATTATCATTGAGTATTATGTTTAGTATCATTTAAAATGTCTCAGAGTGAATGGTACAAATGTCTCATTTCCAAATAAGTACAACAAAATGTAATAAGGTTTTTAGAAGTTTTTAGAAAACTGGCACATAAAGGAAGATGGCAAAGGTTTTATTAGATAAATTATTGAAAAGCACACTAAATAGGGTCAGAAATTGTTTGTGTAGGGAAACCCTTTTATTGGTGCATTCTCTATAACAATCATGTCTAGTCTAGTCAATCACTAGTAACTTGGATCGGCGCTCGTAGATCGACTGATAGAGACTATTTTTCAAAGATGGCTTCTTCCTGTATTCGCGATGTTGACTGTGTATAAAATATCTTCTTATTAAACTGTTTGGACACTGACAAAGTTCTCAATGCTTTGGTTTGAATGTAGGGACCCTTGTTATGCTGTCGTGTTGGTGTGGGGCTATTTTGAGCCTTGTTAGTGGTAATAACAAGCGATTTTTATTTGTCATTACTCTATGCCCTATATACTAGCATTATACTAGCGTTATAGGCTAAACTGTTTTTAGAGATACAACTATTTACATTCGGCAATCATGAAAACAAATCTCAGATAACGGTTGACTAGGTAGCAATGTGTAATTAGACCAAAGGTTCATTTTGCGCCGGAGTTGTCCTTTAAGTGATGGCTTGTTGATTGCAATGGTTCTGAAGGGCTTACCGGACTCTTTTAAGCCCTTTTCCATTCACATAACCCAAAGTGATGAAACGATAACTTTCACAGAGTTCAAAACAAAGCTGAGGAGTTATGAGAGCACAGAAAAGTTTAGTGCTGCTTGCTCAGAGGATGACATTGTGATGAAGGTGAAAGCAAGAGATGGGTGGAATACGAAATTGACCTGTTTTAACTGCGGACAAAAGGGACATAAAGCTGTGGAGCGCATT